CTTCTTCCTTTTTTTTTTTGCGGTAGGGACTAGCTAGGCAGCTGGTTGGTCATCACCGTGGCTGATAGCGTCGGAGTGTGGCTGCGGCAGTGGCTGTTGGAGGGGCCAGTTGGTTGCGCAGCAACTTGGCTGGCTGCTACATTGGGGACCTGGGCAGCACCTTGGAGAGGTGATGAGCTGGGCCTGGTGTGTGCCCAAGGGCTGTAGAGAGATGCTAGGCCTCATGGGCCATGTCAATTGCGCAGGGGCGTGATATGGGCTAAGCTGGAGCTGCGCGGGCTGAAGGCATGCTGGTGCTAGTTTGGGCTACGTTATAGCTTGGGCCAGCGCTGGCTATTGGGCCATGCAAACCTTTTTTTTTTTTTTTTGCAGGTCTGGCTGGGCGCTTGGGCTGGAGCTGGTCCTGGGCTTGACGCGTGTAAGAGCCTAGTGGGCTTGCTGTTTAGGCCTTTTTTTTATTTTTTTTATTTTGCTGCCATTTTTTTTCTTTGGTATTCTAACTTGTAGAATTTCCTTCTTTTCTTGCAGTTTTCCGTTGACCATGTCTTCTGAAGATGGTAGCCAGTCACCAAGCTCCCAAATGCCTTTGTATCTGTCGAGAGGCTCCCAAGTGTACAAGAAGAGGTTTGTGACTAATCTGCAACGCGTTACGACTGAAGCTCAGTTCCAGAAGTGGCAGGCCGCTTATGCTTCTACAATTCCTGATGATGTGCATGTCAAGCTGGCGAAGCCTTTGACTAACGACATGCCCTGTGTGGATGCGAATGATCCAAATTCTAGGATCATCACCTTTTGTCCCTTTTATTTCTCCTTGAGCTTCACATTCCCACTATCAAAGCTTTTCATGGAAGTGTGTTGCGCCTTGGAGCTGACAGTGCGAGAGTTCTACTTTTTTGAAGAGAGGTGCTTTGAGAAATACACCCAAGTTTATTCTTTCCTAAGTTTCAACAGGCAGTGGAAAGGCGATGTTGATGATGGTCCACTTGCAATGGTACGTCTTTTTGTGGTTTTGATATGCTCTCTTTTTATTTGAATTTCTTGAAGTGTGGCTGACTAACTTCTGTCTTCTGCTTGTAGTGAGTGACATCTGCAATAAATTGGAACTTGAACTGGACATGGCTTAGGTCGGTGGCACTTTGAACATCCCCTCGAGGTTTCACGAGTGGCGCTGGCTGTTGAGCGATTATCGAAAGGAAGTCAGTGGACAGCCCCTTGCCCAGGATGTCGGAGATGGAAGCAGGATGGTCCGGACCTTGATGATCTACCCGCTGGATAGGATGAGTGTTCTACTGAACCCCCCTCAAAGTGGAAGGCGGATGTCAAGTCTTCAAGAACTCAAGCTACTTCTTCACGTGTGAGGAATATGTCTTCGTGGAGGAATAAGCCAAAGCTCCCTTTTGTTGAGAAGACCCAAGTAGGAGCTATTCCCTCGTCATCTTGTTGGTGCAGATAGGAAGAAGATTGGTTGTATGTGCTGTTTGGGCCTAACTCGGCAGGCCCATCCCAAAATCAAAAAGCCCATGTCAATTTTTGGCAGCCATCAGAGTTCTCTTTATGTTTGGGCCAACGCTCTGCACGACATCCCATTTTTACAAAAAGCCCACAAAACAGAAAATAAAAGAATGGGCCTTGATTCTAGAAAAGCAATCCAAACCAAACAAAAGATGCCCATGTCTTTTACAAAGTGGCAGAGGTGTAAAAAACACAAAGTAAGTCAATGAAATTGCCAATTAAATGGCAATTCATCTCCAAACATGTCGATGAAATTCTAAAAAGAATTGGATTGGGCCCAGCTTCTAAAAATCTCACCATTGATCTCAATCCCAGAGTACAAAGTTAGCAGACTTTTAAAAAGTCTATTCACAAATAAACCCACATGACTACCAGACTTTGAAAAGTCAAAAATTTCAACTAGAGTTGATGGGGGATTAATGAAGGCAGATCTTAAATAGGAAAATTTCTCCAGTCTTTATAGCCAAAAAACCAATCAATAACCAAAGCTCATTGAGCCACAAGAAACGACTCAGCTATAAATTTAGAATCTCTAACTTCAGTTTAGTTAAGAGAAATAGTCATACAAAGCGAGATTTCTCTCGTTACAAATTTGGTTAAGCATAAGCCAAATCAAGCAGAGTCGGGGTTTTTACAAATATGAAAACCTCAATAAATTTATGGAAAGCCCTGATCAAGCAAAACATGTACTACAGTGCAATTCTAGCTCAGTAATCATCAAATCCAGCCACTTTTTCCCCTTCCAAACTGAAGAGGTTCTAATTTTGCCCGTTCAAAAAGCCTTCCAAGGCTTGAACGTTTGTATCGATTTATAGTTGAAACTTGACAGTTGAAGGTGTTGATAGTCCAATCCAGCATAGACATACCCAGTCCAGCCCTAATCAGAAGCATCTGTCTAGGCAGAAATTGAAGTCCAACGCTCTTTCTGTTCTTTTTTAGAGTTGGTCTTTCCTTTTGAGTTTTGTAAAGGCATCTACCTAAAAACATTTCACTTTCTTATCATTCATTCTGGCCAAAACTACCAGTCTTGTACTGTGAAAAATTGTGAAGTCCTCACCAGTCTAAGGCAAAAAAAAAAAAAAAACTTACTTGGGAGATATTCCTCACCCAAATTCATAATCCCTTGTTTAGAAATCAGTAACTTGGGTTTTTACTGCTAGCAATGGCACACTCATACACAAAAGAAAGTTGACTTGTTGACCACAAATGGTTTTCAAGATAATGGGGAACTTTATCCTATCATCACAGGAACAAATCTAAAACAGGTGAACATGCGCAACATTAGGGATGTTTCCCTTAAGCCTCTTGCTGATGAATTTGGAGATCATGATTTGCTCCGTGAAGTAGCTCGTGTGCGATCTAGTTCACCTATTGAGAGGTATCAACTCTGCTTGCATCCAATCCCTCCAATTCCAGCAACATTGCTTGTGAGTAGTCTTCTCCAACTAAATTATGTGGTTGGGCAATTCGGATGGACTAAACTGCGATTTCTATAGGCAGAATTGCGTCTTGTCCATAGGTTAGGGCATATGGAGTCATGCCAGTTGCTTCTCTTTTTGAAGTTCTATAGGCCCACAAGGTTGCAGACAGTTTTTCATGACATTACCTTGGATTTTCCTCAAGCATTTTTATGATAATGTTGATAATCACTTTGTTGCTCGATTCTGCATATCCATTAGCCTAGGCATAATAAGGAGTGGATTGAAGTAGTTTGAACTTGAATGCTTTTGTCATATCTAGCATTTCTCTATATATGAAGGAAGTTCCCCTATCAATGGTGATTGATTCTGGTATGCCAAACCTTTGCACAATCTGTTCTTCTATGAATGTAATGATCTCTTGAGATATGATGGATTTGACTAGCTTGGCTTCTACCCATTTGGTGAAATAATCTGTAGCCACTATGATAAAACAATGTTGTTTGCTACTACTGGATAGATTTTGCCAATGAGGTCCATTGCCCATCCTCTGAATGGCCATGGCTTGACGACTGGATTCATAGAGACTAAGGGAGCCTGCTGGATTGGACCATGTCTTTGACAAGCTTCACATCCCTTGGAATATTCTATGCAGTCCTTCATAATGGTAGGCCAGAAGTAACCATGCCTCCTAATCAACCAACACATCTTCCTTCTGCCTTGATGTGCTCCACAA